TCTGCTTGGGTTCCATGCTATGCAAAAGCGTGCTTTAAAAGAAGGTAAACTCGAGTGGTCCGGAGTCACAAACATGGAGAGGAAACAGCAAGCAAGGCATTGCAAGGAGATTGTTCAGGAGTGGGGACTGCACACACACCCAGGCGGAACCGTAGAAGTGAAGAAATCAGAGCACAGCATCAGAGAGTTCATATGTAGGAAACACACGCCAAGTTTAGAGGGCAGCTGGAATGATGCCTTGGGTTTTGTTAACCTCTGTGTACAAAACAGGAAAGGACACACAAAGGACCGCAGGACAAATGGGGTTAAAATGCTCTCAAATTGTTGCGTTTCCAAGTGGTATAAAAGAATTTGCTTTAGGTTCTTTATGATAAAAAAAATAAGGCATGTAAATAGTGCTAAAAGAATAGATAATTAATAAGCATAAAGAGAAAGATGAATTATAATTCGTCTAAATTACAGTCATCTGATCAGCCTACAAGTAAAACAGAGATTGACTGGCACCAACTATATAAGAGATAATCCAATTAAAAGACGAAGATGGGGGCTGGCGTGATGGCTCAGCTGGTAAGAGCATTTGCTGCTCTTCCAGTCCCCCTGCTTCCACATCAGGCCTCTAACAGCTGTCTGACATTCCAGCTCCAGGGGAGTCCACACCTCTGGCATCCATAGGCTCCTGGACTCGTGTGCACGTGGCTACAAGTAGACACATGCATGACGCATAAATAAAAACCATTTTTAAAAATACAAAGATAGACTGGATTGAAAAGAAAACTGGGTATGCTTCCATTCAGGTGACACATTTAAAATACAAAGTAACAGCCCAATGGTTACAGATGAGAGTAAAATATAGCCCAAAGAATGATAACCAAGAGAAGTCTGGCATAAATACAGTGTCTGTGGAGTTGAGTCTTAAGGCAAGAAGCCTCACTAAAAATAAGAGCGCATTTGATAATGATTAAAATCCAGCCTGAAAGATATAATCTATATGTAGCTAATAACCCATAAAGGGGCAGAAAGTATAAATGGGGGTTAAAGATAGACTTTTAAAAAATTTGTTAATGGGACCAGAGAGTTAGTAGGAAGATCTCTATAACCCTTCAAAAATACATACTCCTTCCTTATGTAAAGATGCCAGGAGGAAAATGGCAATCTCTGAACTTCATTTAAAGATGCTCAGAAAAGAAACCGCAGGAATCCAAGTTTGGCTCTGTGTTCTTCAGCGTATCAAGAAAGCTGAATATATCAGTAAACTAACGATATATATATTTAATATAACGATATAAATTTAGCTGTTAATTTAAAATCAAAGTAGGCCATTTACAAATAGAATTCCATATTATGCAGTCACAGAAAAGAAACCTGTCCATTTCCAACAGTGTGAATTAGTCTTGAAGGAATAGTGAGGATATACGATCTCAGTCCTATATGGAGTCTAAGGAAGGTTAATGTAGAGAAACGGCAGAATGGCATTTACTGCAATGGGGATTTTAGGGTACAATCTGTGCCCCAGCAGCTCCCGACAAGAGATACGACAGTTAAAGGGAATGACTCCGAGGTGCAGAGAAAGGGAATTTTATCAGTCTGGATGCCTCGTGGAGGGCAAAGCTGCCCAGTGACCCCAAAGCCTATCTTTGGGGTCCTGACATGAGGTTCCTGTTTCAATAGAAGGTGAACTGTATTCTTAAACAGTGCTGGGCAAGACATGGGGTGCTCAGCGCTGAGCATCAGTGTAGCTGTGGTCTGTCCTGAGAGGTTGTAGGATGAGATACCAGACTCGTGTGAGCTCTCTTCCCGACAGACAAGTTCTTTATCTGCCTGGCACCAGGACTTTGACCTTTCCTTTCCCTCAGCATGGGACTCTGGGAAATTTTGAATCATTGGGGTTCATTGTTTGGATAATCTGTTAACTGGAAATGATGGCACAACCTTTTCTTTTAGACAATTTCTCTCTGACGAGAGTGGTTCTATTGCCAGAGACAGATGAGGCAGGGGGAGATGGGTTATTTCAGCGGATCTAGTGAATGGCGCAGTGTCTGCATTTACTAACTCCAAGTTTTATTCCTGTCATTTGCCTCATATTCTGACCACAAAATAAAAGGCATTTTGGTAAAAGGAAGCAGGAGTTAAGTAATTTGTGGTGTTTCTTTTACAAAATATTTGTATATTCAATCACCTCAGTGTGCATCTTAAAATCAATTTCATTGTTTGAATAGACATGATTTTTTTTTAAAAAAAAACAAGTCCCAGCTGGAATAAGGATCCAAATATGAGCACACACAGAGCAAACTGAAACCTCAAGCCCAAACAAACCAGTAGAAACAGAAACAAGAGAAGACAAGTCAGGAAGAAGCTGGTGCTAAGCCTTTTCAGGACCCAGGGTAGAACCGACTTCTTAATTTTCGCGCTTCTTACCCGACTGTTCCTCAGAACTCCACCTCACAGGTGGTTACAAGGTGTGTAACCTTGACTTTTCTACATTGACCTGTCCTCTACCACACTGGGAGAGCCATTTGAACACACACTATTCATCTGGCTCACTTTAGAAAATCTCCAGAACGAATAGACGATAACTTCTGAATGACTGTCAGCATCCCCACAACCCGCCCAACCTGCCTCCATCCTGGGAAGACAGCCAGAAAGAGCTAGGAAAGACAGCCATATTAGGTGGTAGATGAAGTACAGACAGGGGCTGGGTTGACCCGGGTGGACTCTTGCTTCTAAGTGCTGCCACCTGGTGTGACGGACTTGTCTACGGGGTGACCCGGACACGGGTGGGTCTGTGGCAGTGCTCAGAATCTCTAAGCTTTTGCTAATGATGTCATCATGAAGCTTGTCAGAGACAGGGCGTTGTTTCGGCTAAGGGTAAAAGACAAGGGACCCTGTGACTGGAGAGATGGCTCGGTGGGTACAAGTCCCTTCTGTCGTGCGAGGACCAGAGTTAGGTTCTTGGAACTCATGTAAATGTCTGGTGGGCTACCTGCAACCCTAGCCCTCAGGAGGCAAAGGAAGGATCCCTGGAACAAACTAGCTGGCGTGACCAGTCAAAATGGCGAGCTCGGGACTCAAGCGAGAGTCTAGAAATAAACCAACCGAGAAAGATACTTAACATCTCAACCTTTGACCACTACATTGAATGTGCATAACACAGATACCCACGCATGCAAACACACATACACACCGGATACACGCAAAGAAAAAGGTGCTGAGTCATTCTAGTGTCTGCTTGGCTACTGGGACAGTCTGCGAAGTGTAGGCAGAGGACTTGGCTCCGTGAATTGCATGTGACCCTTTGTTTGTCAGGTTTCCTTCTCTGATAACCTGGCTCCTGGTTCTCAACCGTGGACCACTCTCAGCCATCTGAAGCTAAGGGCTCTCTAGAGTGGTTGTGAGCCGCTTGGATGGCTACCTGCAGGCCCCTTTACCCTCCTGTTCCAGGGAGAATAAGTCCTAGGTGGCACAGCTCCATCCCATTAGCATTTTCTTGGAGCGGAAGCTACTGGCTAAGGAAGGTGGGGTACAGAAAGAGAAAGGGCTGGCTGCCAGCAGCCTAGAGTGCTAGTGAGTCAGACCTGTGACCCAGGGCACCCCAAGTCCTGTGTCCTGAGGTTCCCCAACTTATCAAACAAACACAATGCGATTGTCCGGGCTGCTGACCTCAAGTGATAATGTAAGATTCAAAATGGAAAACAGGTTTTTCTCTGAAAAGTATGAAGGTGCTGTTTAATGTGTAAACCCTCATTGCTAACTTCAGAAGAAGAGGATGCTCAATGTGCCCATGCCCGCTGCATGCCATGCCCGCTGCATGTGTACACCTTATTTTCCAACTTGAATACTAACTAGTTTTCTCATCTAGAAAGTGGAGGTGGCATCACATTAATTCCTGTTATCAGCAGGAAAGGAAACAATGAACGCAAACTGTGCTTGCTATTTCTGATAGCTCTTTTAAAAATTCCTTTTATACATATGGGTCTTTCATCTGCCTGAATGTCTGCAACACAGGCGTGTTCCCGCTGCCCTCAGAGGCCAGAAGAGGGTGTTAGATCTCTCAGAACTGGATTGTGAGCCCCCATGTAGGTGCTGGAAAGCCAAGTGGGTCCTCCGCAAGAGTAGCAAATGCTCTTAATGCTAAGCCATCTCTCCGGCCCCATTGGTATGCTTATTGTTATTACAGAGTTGTCAGTAGTATCAAATGAGTTCTGGAACTTTAACCTACCATCAAAGTCCACAGTCTCTCCTTGAAGCAGCTACCACACCCCACCGGTCTTAACAAAAGCAGTAGTTTCGCCTAAAGCTTTGAGACTTTACAACAGGTTTCAGCGAGTCTTTGATTACAAACCACGTCTGCTGAGGTGGCAGGTACAATTGACTTTGCTGCCCGAGAGCTACCACTTCAGATCCTATTATGGTGGCAGAAGATCAATACCAGCAAGAGGTGAGTGCACATAGTCGGCCTAACCTGATGTCGGTTGGAATCCTTTGGTATAGATGCCACAGGAGGAAGAAGAAAAGAGAAAGAAGAAAGAAAGGCCACAGAGGCACCAGGCATCTGAAATGCCCAGCCCTTAAACAATTGTTGCCACTTCCCTCTCTCCTCCCTTCTGTCACTTTCTGGACCTCCCCCCCCCCCCACCTTCAAGGCCCGCATTATCTAGAACAAGTGTCTGTATCCTACAGCAACCGTAAGTCCAGTAATGACAAAACTCAGATTTCTGGGAGACCCAAGACTAGGAGTACAGTCGTTCCTGACTTGTGCTCCACTAGCATGCCTATTCTTATGCGTGTGAAGCAATACACACAGTTGCCATCACCCCCTGACTTCCACAGATTTCCCTTTCCTAAAATGACCCCAGTAATCATGAGGTTTGGGACATCCCTTGCAACACACAAAACGACAGACCCAGAGTGCCAAGTCTCCGTGCAACGCAACGGAACATGTCTCCAGGGAGAGGACGAACGTCGGGGTTTCAAACGTGACCCCGACGGATGTTCCGGCTTACCTACGGATATGGTCCACACAGCAATGATCTTCAGGAAGGCCTTGGTTCTGGAGTTGAAGCGGCTGTGGTGGATGGGGTTCTGGATGGCGACGTAGCGGTCCAGGGAGATGGCACAGAGGTGCATAATGGAGGCGGTGGAGAAGAGGACGTCCAGGTAAATCCAGACTGCACAGAGCTTGCTAGGCAAAGGCCACCGGTACCCTGTGGTGCACAAGTTCAGCATCAGCAAGGAGCTTCATGCTTTCTTTGGCAGGCATGTGGTCTATACCCTGGGACAACTTGGAGTTCACAATTTAGGGACAGGCATTGGTGACAGCAAGTGGGGGACTACAGGACTTTCAACATTTGACTAAGCAGCAAGTGTGCTTTATTACACTACGAGGGCATGAATTGGTGAGAGTGGGTGTGAATGTTTCTGGCTTATGGAATTGTATTGGCAAGAAAAGGAACCTGCTTGTTCCTCTTGAACGAAGCCTTTTCCCCACTCTACCGGACTGTAAGCCCCTTGAGTCACATGGGTGGCCAGGCCCCTCTCCTAAGGACCTTAACTGCCAGGCTATATCTACAGCTGGGAAGGGAAAGTTTAGAGGTCCTGGGGGAGAGGCCTGGCCACCTTGTGGCTCAGGGGGCTTACACTGGCAAAGCTGTTTTTCTTTAACCACTTCTCTGAAGTTGTGTTCTGAGCCCCTTAATTGAAGAACCGCTCACATCCATCCATCATCTATCTACACGATTTTCTCTAACATTAAGGTCCTTGTGATTGATCTAATCTTAGTCACTATTAGATGTATCCAGTCTCACACGGGCAGGCAGTTAGAGACAGTGTGACAAAACGACTTCAAATACACCTCTTGAATGTCTTTACTTATGATACACGGTCCCCTAATGTTTCAAATACAGCCCTTGAATGTCTTTACTTATGATTCACCGTCCCCTAATGTTTCATTAAACTCAAATTTGGGGCACATGAGAACCACCGAGGATGGCGAAGACAATCAAGAGCGCCTAGCCTTGGAGCATTGTCTCAGGGCAGTGCTCACACTGTAGGTGACAGCTGGCTTTCTCAGTTGGCTCCTTTCAATGGGGACCCACCTCTGGCCATTCCAATCCAGTAAGACTGGAAAATGTGCATTAAAAAAAAAAAACACCTCAGAACTCACACTGCTGATGCTGACATGGGAGCCTCTCCCAGCAGCAGTTGCTTGGGGGCCAAGATACCCCTTCTCTCCCAGCATCACCATCAGCCAGTGGAACTTTGGGTCCAGTTAATCATTCCCTCTGGAGAGGGGTTAGAGGTGGGCCCTCAATATCCAAGGGTCTTTAAAACTTCCCAGAGTCCAGTGCAGGAAGCCTGGCTGATTCTCTGCTGTCTGAGAAAGACAGCAGATGCCATAAAGGAAGTTCATCCTGTTCCTCTCGCGTCTTTTGGAGAGTATCAAGCACTTGAGTAAACCATTATTTAGTTTTGCTAACAGAATGAGTGAATGGGAAGGGAAATGAGAGAGATCAGTCCTCTCTTTGGACCAGTAGAGCTCCAACCGAACAAACCCTCATTTATGCACAAGTCTTATCTCTATCATGCTACCCCCCCGGGGGGTATTCAGAAAAGGAAAAGTTGGGGGACCTAAGCCTAATCCCAAGGCTTCTAGTTCTAGTCTCAGCAAATAGGATCTTACACTCTTGGCAGCCCTGAACCCAGGAAACAGCTCTGCTGTTGGAAACTGATGTTGGCTTTTGCTTGGCGAGGGAGGGGGACGCACGGTAGGGTCGGGGGAGGGACCTTTCCTGAAAGAGACCATGCCCTTTTTCCCTCAAAGTTTCCTCCAAAGTGTAAGAAGAGAATACTCGTGCAAGACAGATTCGTGACTTGCCTGCTGCGGAAGGCGCAGAACTAACCCAGTAGTGTCTAGTAGACTCTGCCTGCGTGCAGGCGGTACACCCAGAAACTGCCACTAGGGGGAAGCTTTGAGCCGAGACCAAGGGACCTGCCGCACTTCCTACGTGGTCAGGGCTGCCGGGGCTGCCCAGCAGCTCACCCCGCCCTCCTGCTGTGGTTTGGGTTCTTGCACAGTCACCCCTCCAACCCGCAGTAGGGTTTGCCCCCGAGGGCTGGCCAGTTGTAGGAAGTGAGAGCCCCTCCCCAGTGGCTGAAAAATGATAAGCAAAAGAAACAGAAAAAAAAAAAAAAAAAAAAAAAAGGTAAGGGAATTATTCAGAAGTGCCATTTGAACCGTCAAGCCAGGACTGGCTTTTACAAAAGGATGCTGACCATTCCTGGCTTGTCAGCTTCCTTCTTGAAGCTTTTCAGGACTAGGTGGACATGTTCATATTGTAGCCTCTAGGACTTGGCCAGAAAACCTCTAAAACTGCCTGTATATCTGTGACTCTTGAGCAAATGTGCCCACAGTCTGAATATTATTTCCTTTGCTCTTTGTTAAGAGGACTCTGGCTGTATTAACTCCTAATTTGAAAGACTATCACGTTCTGCTCCCACACGGAAGCCTTCCTAGTGTTTGCCGACTTCCTGAGAAGTTTGACACTGTCAAAAACCAGCTTGAGAAGAAAGCAGGATTAAGAGCTGTTTGTTTTCCATCCTCCACCACAACCAGACAGGAGGAGTTTATGTGTATACATTTTTAAAGAGTTGAGGGTATAACTCAAAGGCTTTCTTCCATAGTGGCTTCTTGGGCAAAGGGGACAATTAAAATCAGAGTAATTTATTTATTCTAATGGAGACTCTGAATATTTTAACATTAACCCTATTCCAGCGCTAATGCTCTCTCTGCAAATGTTCCAAGGTACTTGGGAAGGTTTTACCATTCCATTAGAAATGCTAAGAACTCTGTGGTAAAGATAAAACCATTCTGTCCCGAGGCTGGCAAAGAAAGCAAAAATCACATGGACACAGAATGCCAGTTAAATTGCGTTCATGGAGTTTTGGAATACAGATAATAATTTCTCTACAAAATTTATTTTAAAGCTTAAAACTCACCAAGTATCAGGTATTAGGTTGTCCTTTTTTTTTTCTCTCTCTCTCTCAAGTAAAATAGAATTTTAAGGCTAAAGCAAAGCTTCTCCTCTATTTCTCTCCTGAGCCCCGGTCTCTCTGCAGACAGCATGCACATGCTCTTTGGGACTACTCTGGGGGCCGCTGGCATGCTAATACCACTCACCATACAAGATGGTTAACATGGACACAGGCATGACAAGGAAGCCCAGCAGCATATCAGCTATGGCAAGTGACATCAGGAAATAGTTGGTGGCATTCTGTAGCTTTTTCTCTAGGGACACGGCCATGATGACCAGTATGTTTCCAGCAATGGTCAGAATAATCACTACAGTTGTCAATAGAGCAGACCAGTTTTTCCCCTGGAGATGGAGGATGGAGAGGCATGTCGGTGGGAGGTACCCTTCGCAGGACAGGTTGGTTCGGTTTTCAGCATCAATTGTCCAGTTCAATGCATCAGAACTGTTAGCGTCTCTGGAGTTGAAGTCGTTTTGGTAGAGCCTGGAGTCACCGTCTAATTGCATTAAGGAGTTTGGAATCGAGCTCAGAGAAGTATTGTCTTCACAGAGAATTTCCATGTCTGAGCCGGAAGTTGTAGCAGATGAAGTACGGAGAGACTCGCAAGTCACAGGCTTGGCTCACCATTCATCTTCGTGTCCTGGCTCTAGGACGTGTTGAAGTGGAGCCCATGTGTGGCTCCTCCGGCTGCCTTTTCCTCTCCCATCGTAAGAGTTACAGAAGTGTGACGGCTCTTGATAGTGCCTCCTCCCTTCACAGCGCTAGGAGGAGTCCACCGGAGAGCCGTAAGTTCTCAATGAAGCAAAGGCAAAAAAGCAGTTTTGAACATCTGGGGACACAAACGTGTTCCTGGTTAAAGAAGAAAAGTTTTGTAACCGGTGGGAATCCGCTTCAGCTGATTCTCGGGTTAAATGTGCAGGTTTCACGGGTTCAGCCATCACAAAGTTAAAACAGCATGCAATCCGAAATCGGTAGGGAGGGCTGTGTGCCCTCTGTATTAAGGAAGTCCGTTAAAAACCCATGCAGTGTTAATCCCATCGTAACTGGAAATACTCGGGTTACCCTTCTCTGGCTCAGGCAGAATTGCCGCAGCTGCATCAGGAATTTCAGCTCGTGAAAGGAAAACACGTCTTGTAGAGCGGCAGAGAACTTTCCACTTCAGAAATTCTCATGGCAATGACGGCATCGTGGCCAAGTGTGACTTCAACCAGAAAGCAAACCCCACAGCAGTAAAAGACAGCCGCCTGAGAACTTACATTCGTTGTCGCCAGGGTCCACTATCCTGTGACTCGCCTGTCGCATGGTGACTGAGCTGGTGCGGAATCCCCTCTCCTTGAGCTTCCAGCAGCATACAATGATAGTAATTTGATTTCTGATTCTGCTGACTTCAAAAAACTGCAAGCCAGATCCAGCAGTTGAGGTCTGCGCTGGCTGCCTCTGGCTACCGCTCCGCTTCGCTAGGGTCCCTCCCTCCCAGAGCTGGCTGCTCGGCTCAGCAGGCGCCAGCGAGGAATCAGTCACCGGGGAGCCCCTCTCAAAGTCACACAAAAGAGCCGCAGGGAAAGTAGGAAGGGCTGTCTGCACCAAGTGGCTCCGGGGTTTCCAGGAGAATAAGCAGCTCCAGCCTGTCTCCTTCCTCAGACCTCCTGTCGCTGTCATAACCTGGAAGGTGGCGACAGCCAGGAAGGGCGGACCCAAAAAGCCCCCTCCCCCTAGTCTTTCTGCTACAGGTTAACACTGAGAACTTTTGCTTTAAAGAGAGAATGGAGATCCGGGCTAGTGGTTACATTCTGAATAAGGTGGGCTACGTGACGACAATATTTGAGACTGAGGGGTGAAGAGTGAGGAGAGACGATAAATACTGTTAGAAAACGGCGTGTCCTGGAATCTGGGAGCATCCAGCACTTCTAGCCAAGCCAGTGGCGCTGCGTCTAGGAGGGATGGCTGACATTGGCAAAGTTCCGAGGATCCCGGAAGTCTGTGGTGATAAGTGATAAACTATTAGTACAATGTTTAGTTAGCCAAACGTATGTAAGTACACACTATTTATTGTTACGTGTGTGCACCATCTAACTAGCTCATTTTTCTTCATCTGACGAATGTCACCGGGAGGTAATGAAAGCTTCGTTAGAAAATGAAAGGTTTTATTTTATTTTCATTTTTTTTCCCTCAGAAGTGACAGTAATGACAAGGTGCCCCATCTGTAAAGACGACTCTCTCCAGTGATTCTAAGGGAAGGCAGACGTAGATCATTACTTCTACAGATAAGACAGTGGCTTATGTCTCCAAACACGAGGGCCTTTCTGGGGGTCCTGTTCTCCCATTCTTCTCTTGTCCTTTACACTCCCCATTCAGCCCCTCCCAGGCCTTCGATGTGTTGCTAATCACCCAATCCTCAGGGCAGTACCTCAGCTAAATATTCAGCTGCCTTCTAGAGCCTTTCATCTGTGTCCCAGGTCACCTTGTCATTGTCCATTCTGAGCCTCTCTTAGGGCTTCTTGCTATACATCCGCTTGGTTCATGGAATCTTCATAATTATGGTCCCCCCTCCCCCCAGAGTCCTTCCATCTCCCCGCCTATCCCTCTGGACTTCCAGCATCTCCTCTCATCTCCCTGCCTATCCCTCTGGACTTCCAGCATGCCCTCCCATCTTCCTTCCATCTCCCTGCCTAACCCTCTAGACTCCCAGCATCTCCTCCCATCTCCCTGCCTATCCCTCTGGACTCCCAACGTCCCCTCCCATCTAATGAACTTGCTCAACTCTTCTCTGTTCAGTCCACAGTGAGGAGCCTTTCTGTTCTTTCTGGCCAGACACATTGCTCCCCCAGGGGGTCTACCTGTCACTAGGCTACTGGTCTTCTGCATCCAAGGCATGGTCTGTGGGGGCAGGACCGGAGGGAGTAGGCATGGAAGTCAGAGTCCCTTGGTTCAGAATCCCAGCTTTGTAACTCATACAGCCTAACTAACTCAGCTGACTTGAGAGCCCAGTATTCTCCTAGTCAACCAGGATGATATTAGCTTCATCACTGGGTTGCAGAGAGGCATCAGATGACATGCATGCATAGCTAAAGGATGCTCTACACTGTACACTAGCCATTTAATTTCTATTGCTATTATTATTATTATTATTATTATTATTATTATTATTATTATTATTTGAGATAAGATTTCTCTGTGTAACAGCCTTAGCTGTCTTGGAACTCACTCTGTAGACCAGGCTGACATCAAACTCACAGAGATCTGCCTGCCTCTGCCTCCCAAGTGCTGGGGTTAAAGGTGTGTGCCACCACCGCCCAGCTAAAATTATGATTGATTGCAGGAAAAATCATTATCCCCCTCCTGCCTACATTCCTTATCGCTTCTTTGAGGGGTGCACAACTCTTTTCTTAGCTTGATCATTCCCTGGGGCCCCCTACTTTTAGGCCTGGACTCTCACTGCTTTTCCATGGCCAGCCTGGCTGCAGACTGAACCTTCACGCTTCTGACAAGTTCATCTTTGCGTTTGCAATTCCTTGAGGCTGGGAGGCTCTCACTGCTTCCCTTCCTGTGTCCACCTTGTGAATGTCCAAGGTGCAACTCCCATGCAGAGACCCCCAGGCTTGCCACTTGTCACCTCTGAGACCTGGAGTAAGCCCTTTGATTTTCACATTGGCTTTCCTCACCGGATGAAAAGGAATAGGGTTAACCGTCCATCGACTTCAGAGGGTTAATTTGAGAGCTAAGTAAGTTTATAGATTTGCCTGGAATATTATAGGCCCACATGTTTTTAATCTGATTGCTGTTATTGAATTTCCTTTTAGGGAGTTTGCTGTGAACTGCCCTTCCCCACTAGAGGCTTGCACATCCTCTGCAGTCTTCCATTTGAATGCTAATACATGGAGTTCAAGCCACATAAAGGCAAGAGGTGTGTACATCTTCTTCATGGTTGGGCGCATGATTTGTCCTTTAAATACCTATGAAATAAAAGTGTTAGTCAATGTCTAATGTTCTTTGAAGACTTGGTGGCACAGGCCTGCAATCTCAGCTATTTAGGGGGTTTGGGGAGCAGGGTGGCAGGTTCAAGGCCAGCCTGGGAAAAAATATTTAAAAGGATTAATTGCAGTTTTTGCACAGTTTTATGAACAAAGCAACAATGACAGGCTCTATCTAGGTTGTTGACCCCTGATGATAGAATGTGAGTCAGATGGGGGAGGAAGATATTTATGTCCCTATATATTGGACATAGCAATGGGACTTTTTTTGGTGACATTTAAGCATATGTACAAATACGGAGTGTTTTGATTATATTCAACCCTAGTGATTCTAAGTCTGACGGTCTTTTTGAGTTTGCACTAAGTCGGCAGCTGTGGTAGATACTGGAATGTGCAGTCCAGCGCCCCCTGCAGGGCTGTAATGCTCAGCCTTGTTACTGAGAGAAGGATTAGTAGCTATGAAAATTACCCTCAGCCAAAGAGGCCCCTTCACATGTGGCCACACTATTTCCCCGAGGGCAGGTTCCCATGTGGTGACAGCAGGGACACTAGTCTCACCTCTACCTGAAGGCTGGATTGTGGTCTGTCAGTGGTCTCCTTAGAGAAGCTTCTTAAGGGTACTGAGGCCTTTATTGTATGAGTCATAAACACCTTCCCCCTCAAAACCTTTATTGTATGGAGTAACCCCTCCCCCACCACCCGTACTGCTCCCCTATAGGTGCTGATCTGGGAGTCCTCTTTAGTAAACCCTCCTACACAAGCCTGCCTGATTTGGCTTCCTGGGAATTCAGCCTAAGACTTAAGTTTCCCAGCCGTGTTTTAATGTTTTCTTCACCAGTGGATGAGCCTGTCCTACGGAGAGCAGGAAGAGAATTGTTGCTTAAGTTAGCGAATGCCTCTCTGGCATAAACTTTCGGTTATGCATGGACAGCGGCTGCCTTGTTATTGACAGAGGAGTTTGAGGCCAACAACTCAAATCAATTTATTATTCGAGGTTGAATTCTAAAATGATTGGACTTTACATATGGCGTGCCTTTTATATCTAGTTTATTTTGAACAGGCCAACAGAAATTATTGCTTAAAATTGCGTTTACAAAGTTGCTGGAGTAGCATTGGAAGCCCTTGCTGGACTTTGTTTTTCCCCACGCTAAAGGTCTTGGCTCCTGAAATATTAATGCTTTATAGATGTTAAAATATGCAAAGAAAAAGTTCTGTGAGTAAATAAATCGGGCACATATTGCATCTTTATAGCCTCCTCTTTAGCATTTTAAAGGCTGTAGGAAACCTCGTAACAGCGGAATTTGCTTTTGTTTCTCTCTTTTCTCCCCTCTTCCAAAAAGTTCACTGTAGGTCAATTTTATTTTCTTTCAAAGAATTGAGTTATATTTTTGCATTCATCAAAACATAAAGACCTTAAATATGCAATTCATGAGTTTTGAAGAAATATTTACACCCTCACAACTGTCACCCAAATCAACAAACTTACTATTTCGATGTCTCGATTATTTTTGAAAGCTCCTTCATACCCATTTTGACCTCTGCTTAAGCCAGAAACATTTGGTGTCTTTTTATTCTGTAGTATGTCTGTGAGTTCTATCCAGTTTGCTACCATAAAACTGGTATGTGTGTGGGCGTGTGTGAGTGTGTGTATGTGTGTGTGTGTGTGTATGTGTGTGTGTGTGTGCCAACAAGGCCAAAGGAGGACAACTGTTGTCCTGCTCTGTCATTCTTTTCCCGATTCTCTTTAGATAGTGTCTAATACTACACCTAGAGCTCACTGTTTATTGTCTTGGGCTGGTTGACCAGAAGGCTCTAATGGTACTCCTGAGCCATGTCATACTAGTCACAGGGTTAAAGGTCAGTGTGGCTATGCCCAGCTTTTATGTATGTGTTGGGGAGCTAAACTGAGGTGTTCATGTTTTCTCAGCAAGTGATCTTAACCACTTGAGCCATCTCTCCAGAACATCCCCCTATCATCTTTGTTTAAAAATAGATGGGAATCCAGTAAAATCTTCAGGAATCTAGGCATGAATATAGACTGGATCTGTAGTCTATCTAGCCTTTAAAAAGTTTTACCTTTTCCAGATGCTGCCAACACCAACCTCTATTCAATCAACTGAATCCAATCTTGTCCTGAATCGGCAGCATGGAATTCTTTTACTCCATGTCCTCCTTTAAGAACGTGTCCTGAATTTTTGGAGACACAGATTTTACCAATGGTCTGAGGATGAAAGAGCACTATTCACAGGCCATTTCTTGGGGCATTTAATCTGTCACTTCCTTTGGATGCTGCAATTCTCAGGTTGGAAAATTCTCAGCCTTCTTGGAACGTTTTTATTTATTTAAATTTTTTTCATATAGTATGTTTTGATTATAGTTTCTCCTTCCCATATTCCTCCAAGTTCCTCCCCACTTTCCCTCTTATCTGGATCCAAAAGCTTTCTATATCTTGTTAGAAAACAATCAGGTATATATAAATAATAAAATAAAAAATAAGCAAGGAAGAATATGATAAAGCAACAAAATAAGATAATAGTTCAAAGAAAAAAACACAAGAAATGCACAGAGACACATATGTTTGCACACAGAGGATCCCATAAAAAACCCAAACCAGAAACCATAACATGCAAAGGACCTGTAAGGTTAAAAATAATGCCCCGACATAACATGAGACCTTTGAGTATGTTTCATGTTGGCCATTTACCGCTAGTCACGGGCCTACCCTTAGGAGTAGTTTGTTCCCCCAGTGAGACTCCTTTGGAGAAAAGTAATTTTTCATTTGCATGTAGTTGTCTGTGGGAGCTAGCTTCTGTGTTAGGGATGAGGCGTGTCTCCACTTCTGCTTTCAGCTCCATGACC